CTCTGACAAATTCTTTCATTTAGGAGAGTGTTTTTGTAAAGTTCTTCAGCAGCAACCTGGGGCTGATTTTCCTGCAGAGAGAGTGACTGAGTCTCCTTCATGCCAGCGCTGTATGGAGGACCTGTTGGCCAACATTTTAACCACAATTATTATCTGTGAGTCCCAGGCTGCTGCTTTGCAGGGTAGGCACTTTCTGTGGAAGTTCGGCCTCGGCCATCCTTTTTTGGGCATTAATTATCATTCAGAGAATTGACTCCTTAAGGTTTTAAACCTGAGGTCAAACTTTTGTAGGAATTATTTTCAGAGAGTGCTACCTCCAAGTTAATGTGTATAGACACCAAGACAATTTTTAAACCTAAAATCAGCACCCTGAGTACTACTGCTTTCAGGTTCTTGTACATGTTGTACACATCAAGATCTAGTCTATCCTAGAAACATCTATGAGCCTGTGAGATGACAGATTGTTTTGTTATTTTGGTAGTGATGGAGGTTGAACCCAGAGCCTCACACACACTAGGTGAGCATTACCACTGACCTCTATTACATAGAGAAAGAGCACTATTAAATAGTGAATGGAAAACTAAATGTAAAGAATCAGAGAATTCTGGAAGAAATATACACAGCAAGTACAAATTCCCACCAGCTTGAGTGTGTTAGCTTTCGATGGTTATGAAACAATATCTAAGTAAAACAAAGGAAGAAAGTTTATTTTGGGATCATAGCTTCAGAGGGTTAAGTCCATGGTTTTCTGGCTTCATTGCTGCAGGCCTGTGGTGAAGCTGTAGGAGCATTTGTTCACCTCATGGTGGCCAAGAAGAGCAAAAAAGAGAGAGATGAAGGGCCCAGGAACAAAATATACTCTTCAAAGGCCCTGAGTGGCCCATCTTTTCCAACTAGTGTCCCCCTGCCTCAATATCTGCTACCTTTCAATAGTGCTACCAGCTAGGGACATTCATTTTACCAGGATTATTAGGGGGTTATTCCAGATCAAACTATAATGCAGTGTGACTCTCTGTCCCAGTTCTAATGGATGTCAGCTTATCTCTATTACTTTCCTCTCTTCATGATTCCTTTATTTACATATAAATTTTGTTTCACCCTCGCAACTACAGGCCCACTGAGAGAAGAGATAGTAATTTGTTTGTCTCTATTTCATTTGCCGTGCTCTAATGTCTTAAAAAGATTATGTCTGAACGAATATTTATTGTTGAATGAGCAGTGCAGGAACACGTACAATTTGGACCCACTCAGTTCCAAATTGGAGTTTTGTTTTAGCAAATAAGCTTAATTTTAGTTCTTCTTTTGAATTAGAAACTTTGATTTGAATGTTTAAAAATGAAAAAGAGTCAATATGAAGTATAGATATCTTGTTAGAAAACAGAAAACCCTTGTAGATTTTCTGTAGAAAACACTTAAATCAGTTTTCATAAAGAAGTCATACATCTACTTGCTCTTCTCAAATTTGATTGGAAACATCTGGTAGGCAGTGGCCAATGCCCCTTGTGGCAGCAAGTCAGTGAGACCCATGTCCATGGACTGTATTAAACTGTTCCTCACAGTCTGATTATGAGCAGAATAATCATATTAAAGGAGGTATTTATGGATGAAGCACATATCAAAAAATAAATAAGATACATTAGCAAAACTGGTGAACTATATACATAAATTTGGTATTTTATATATTGTCACTATGCATGTAGAATGATCTAAACCAAGGTAAGTTGTTGTTCATGAAACAAGTTCTAGCATTCAGGTATGTGGCCTATTGGCTTTCTGTACAGACAATAGTTTATTTATTAATTCACTAAACGTGTCTGGGACATCTATTAAGCATCTGGCTTTTTGCTATACTCTTAAACAAATGGTTTATAAATACTGTGTGTCTGAAGGTGGTGAGTGATGCGGAAAAGCAGAATAGAAGGCATTAATACTATATAGTTTCTGTAGGGAGAAGACTGCAACTCACTGTTCAAGTGGTGAGATCAGATGAGGTAAAAAGTGAGTAACATTGCAAAGAGTTGAGATATCGAATAGCTGACATATTTTTAGAGCCCCCTCACTTTCTTCTTCATCTTCTCTGACATACTCTTTTCTTCCTCCTGTTCCATTTACTTATTTATTCATTTAGCTATTTATTTTGAGACAGGGTCTCACTGTATAGTGCAGGCTGTCCTCCAGCTCGTGACAATTCTCCTGCCTCAGCCTTCTGAGTGCCGGGATTACAGGCATGTACCATCACACCTGTTTCTCTCTCTCTCTTGCTTGCTTGCTCCTTTTTTTTCCCTCTGTGTGTATTATCTTATTTTAAAAGTAAGCATTTTATTTTTCAAAACATAGATATTCAAGTAATTCAGAAAACTGTAAAATACAAAAACAAGAACAACATGAAAATTTACCTTGCAGTATAATTTTGATGAAAATCCAGAGTGATTAAAGCATAGCAAAATCGAATAAAATTTTAAAAATTTATTCTAGTAAAATAAACACGGCCATTAATTGCCCTCAAAATTCCCCATCACTTCAAGTACATTGATCCCATTGTTCTTACCACTTTCTGAAGCAGTTCTGAAAGTTCCTTTTCATGTGTAACCAGAAATGCACTGAACACTGCTACTGTGTACCATCCAATAGAAAGGCAGGGTTGTGAACACATTATAGTGTGTTTTCATCCATCTTATTCAACAATCTGGCACTCTGTGATGTCTGGGTCATCCCCTAAGTCAAAATGTCATTAAAAAGTGAATGTTTTCAGTTGATTCAGGACACAAGGCAGCTGTAAGCATTGCAAGCAACAGCCCTGAAGAGGACTTCTGTAGCTGCTCCAGAAACTGTCAAGAACAATGAGATAAGTGTGCTCAAAGTGAGAAGGAGTATTTTGAAAGGGATTAATGACAATGTATCTTTAATGATAATTTTTTGAGACATAATCTCGCCATATAGTTCAAGCTGGCCTTGAACTCACTACGCAGCCTCAGCTTGCCTCAAACTTGCAGTAATCCTCCTATCTCAGCCTTCCAAGTGCTGGTATTATAGGCAAGCACCACCCAACTCGCAATAAATTTTTAAAAAAGCATCATATTTGTTGATCGCATCTTCTACATCCCTGTATGTATGAAGGCATATACTCACAATATTCCAAAAATGACATTATCAAACTTAAGTTTATAACTGCTTTTTCAACTAAATAGTATATTTTATGTCATTATCATGGCTTTTTAATATACTATTTTCATAGATACTCCATCATATACTTTAAGCAATCAAAACAAGAATGTACATTAAAAATTCTCACTTGTAATTTCATACCCAATAAAAGCAAAGGTTTCCTTATATATTCTTCCATTATGATTTTATGTGCACTTACCAAATATAGATTTATATTATTCTGCAAAAGTTTGCATAAATACACTGTTCTGCAGTTTTCTTTTTCATTGAATACCAGTGAGATCTTTCTTGCGTTAGCACACAGGAATCTTTCAGGTTTTGTTGCTTGTTCTTCAAATGCGCAGAGCTTATTTAAGAGCTCTGCTATTAATAGTTGAGTTCAGTCAGTCTTAAACATAAGATGATAGAACTTTACATAGGATATGTTTAAAGTAACATTAAAACAAGGATACTAAAATTTTTTCCTGGAAATTTTAATTAAAATCAGTGGAAAAAGATCTTAACACAGAATTACTGATAAAGTAATCTATTCCTGCTTTAAATATTGAATCAATGAGAAAACTTGTTCTTTTTATGTTGAATTTCATGTTATGAGTCAGAAATTTTGTAATAAAACTTGTTTAAAATAGTATCTCATGAGTTTATTCTGATAATGAATATTCTATAAGCATATATCTAGTCAGCATATAATGAATGTCTATTTCAATACAAATGCTAATATTTTTAAAATCCTACATGTTTCTATCATGAATTTTTCATCCACTTCATTTTCCAAAAGGATAAAAATCAGTCATTGTAAGCATTAGTAGAGGGATATTCTTCAACATATGTTCTGGGAATGGTAAATGCCAAGTAATGCAGAGTGGATGAATGAGGAAGGGATGATACTGTGCACTGGTTGTATGCAGTGCCTGGTCCACTTGATCCTCACAAACCTGTGTACTAGGTAGTAGTATGCCCTTTCATAGATGAGGAAACGGGGTTGGAGAGATAAATGCTACCCCTAAAGTTACACATTTATTATTACCTCTGAGAGTTCGGATTCAGGGACCGAGAGGGTTTTTACGTTAGGTTCTGTGTATATTAACAGTGCATTGCTCTGACTCTCAGTCAAGTTGATGGTACATGGCCTGTGATCATTTATTTGTTGACAATTGTTCTCAGATAAATCACTTTCCTTTAAATTAAAAAGAGAAAAATCATTTCCACCTTCGTAAATGAAAAGACAAATCATTTAAGGGTTTTCAAGCTAACCAGGGACCTAAGCCAGCTATCTTTTTTTTTTCCTCCAAGAAAAAGGAACCTTGAAAATAAGTGCTATATTTTAGATAGGAGACCTTGGTTTCTAAAATTTAATAGTAGGGTAACAAATTTTTGTAGACATATCATTGCCTCTTACAAAGATAAAGATAAAGAAAGATACATAGAGCAAATCACTCTACTGAACAAGCTCAGACTCTTTCACAAAGAAACTAGATCTGGAGAGATTAGTATGTCATGAAATAAAAGAAAATAAAAGAAAAATGAAGTAATTAGAATCACCTCTCCCATTTCAAATAGCACCAGCATACTACAGAGCAGTTCCCCTCTGACAGAAATATACTATCATTTACTGCTGGAAATAATCGTTTGACCCAATATACTTGGCAGAATTTTATTGAAGAATAAGTTAAAAAATAAAAACAGAAACATCCTGTGATTCACATATTAGAAGACTCTTGGATGAGATAATGCATCCTTGTGGATGTGTTGTATGAAAAGTACATAAACTAAGACTTCCCTTCGGATTCCATCAGTCTCGTCTTCCTTTTCACCTTTTTCTTTGCAGAACTGCAGAGCTGATTTGGATTTGAGGCTCTCTGCTGTGAAGTAACTCTGGCCGGGGAGACTATGAATACTCTCTTCATACAATAAATTCAGGGAGCCCATCTGTAAGTAATAAAAAAATGATGCTCAGGAAAACATAAAATTTTAACATCTATCTTATAGATCTCAACTTTGTAGGCATTCAGATCCTTTCAGTCAGGAGTTTGAACTGAAACCTTCCTGGGTTCCATGTAGGCATCTGATCCAGGTGCCAAGGTGGGGGGACACTGGGAAGGGGGATCCCCATTCACTTCAGGCAGTGGCAGGAGGGGAAGTCAGTCCTTTCTGTGCACAGGCAGAGAAACATACACCTGAGAGAAGTGACACAGCTGGAGAAACGGAAAGATAGTTTTCCACAAATCTCTTTCTTTGAGTCAAATGAGGGTTACACACCATAGTACTAAAAGATAGCATCCTTCATGGGAGTTAAACACACATTAAAAACTAGTATGCATAAATGAATGGAATTATTGTAAGGAACCAGCTCACGTGACCGTGACTGGATGCCACGAAGTCCTGTGATCTACATTTGGCTATTAGAAGACCCAAGACATTCCAGGGCACAGTTTCAATCAAAGGGACCAGGAGAGCTGACAGTGTAAGTTCTGGTCTGAAATATGGCAGGGGTGAGACCCAAAGAGACATGATGTTTCAGTTCAAGTCTGAAGGCAGGAAAAGACACAAGTCCCAGCTCAGGGACAACTTAATGACATTTATTTCCCCTGTGATATAGGGATTGTATCTAGGAACTTCACACTGAGCTACATCTCTAGCCTACTTTTATTTTATTTTTTAAATTTCGAAATGGTCTCACTAAGTTATCCAGGATGAGCTTGATCTTGTAATCCTCCTGCTTCACTATCCCAGAGTTCAGTATTTCAGAATTAACAGTATCTTCGTTCTATTCTGTCTTCAGTGATTTGACGGCGTTCACTCACACTGGGAAGGGCCATCTGCTTGACTCAGTGCACCAAGGCAAATGTTAATATCTTCTGACACACCCTCACAGATATACCTGGACTAATGCTTGACCAAATTTCTGGGACCACATGGTCTAGTAGAGTTAATGCAAATGTGTGCAAAACAGTGTCACTGATTTTCCTAAGAATACATGTAACAAATATGTGCTGGCCAAGAAAGATGGCTTTGGATTGATATAAGCACAATATATTTTAAATTTTCAACTTGAGAATTTCCAAACATTAATCAACATCTTCTCAAAGAAATTTTCAAGGATTTTTTGTAAACATATCATTCATGCCAATTAGAACAGATATTAAGCAAACTCAAATTGATGACTTTCATGACTTTGAGAATATGGATCAGCCATTCTTTTTCCTTTTCTTCCCTGATTTGATGATCCCTTTTGTTTTCTCCTCCCATCACTTTTATTGCTCTTTTTTCTGAATACCGTATCTACAGTAAGGTGACAGTGACCTTTGAATTTAGTGCAAATAGCAAATGACATTTGTTTGACAGTGTTGCTGTTTTCAAAGAACAACTTAGTTGTACTTAGCTGAATCTGTGACTTTTCAATGATTGTTAAATGTAAAAATGGGTAGTGTTGTGTATACAAAGTATAAATGTTCTTACTGCAATTTCTTTGCAATGAAATAATCTGTTGAAGAGTGAGGATTAGAACCTCTGCAAGTAGAAGAGTGCAAATTGCTGTGATTCTTCTTTCACACTTGCTTGCTATACCCAATTTTTTCATACTTCCATTGATAGATGTTTCCCCAGTGACTGTCATGGAAGGAAATTGTTATCTTCCTAAACCTACTTAAGCACTTCTATCACTTTGGGGGCAAATTTTGATATCTTGAGAATACGTGTAATAAGTTACAGGGTTTGCCAATAACTGGAATATACATCAAATAGTGTTTGTCTGTAGTTATGTTGTTGTTGTTAGCATGCTATCATATAAATAGCAATTTTTAAATGACTATAATATTAAGCTACAATGGACTTATTACTAATTAATATTAATTACATGGACTACAGAATATTGTGGTAGTAAAGGAAATGCTCATCTCTGAGTGTTTTCAGCTTGTATATGGTAGAAAGATGGCCTGTCTAACTATTAATCTGCAAACCACTTCCTGCAAATCTAGAGAACTGTTATCTGAAGGGCTTGCAATTGTGCTGATGGAAGAACATTTTCCACAGCTTGGCTATCAATCCTGAAAGAGATTCAATGGCTAGCAGAAATATTAGATGAAAGGAAAGACTATAAAGCTAGGAAAGGATGTATTTCTCTTAGCTATAGTGGGTGCTAGACAAATGATTATCTAATGGAAACTTTCAGATTATGTGCATTTTAGAAGTGCTACTCTTGGTTTTTTTTAACTTGCACACATTTTATATTATTCACTGTTACTATTTCACAATTTAGTGCACTGTTCATCACAAAAAGGTCAAGTATGGCATTTTTACAAATCGAGGCAAATAATTGTTTTACTGGATATCCTCCTAGGATATAAAATATTCTGCATTTTCTCAGTGGCTACTGAAAAATATGTATTTGATGAGTTCTTGTATCTAGGATCTATAGTAACTGACCTTACACCCACCCTAGAAAACCTAGGGCCTTCTGTCCAGGAAATTATAGCAAAAGTCACAAATATGATTTCTAATTTCCTAGTAGCCCCATTAACAAAGATGAAAAAATTGAGATAAATTTTATGATGTTCTTGATTTAACCTAGTATATCTAAAGTTTATGATTTTAATTTATACTCAGTATAAAAATTAATATTTTATAGCCTTTTGTTTATACTATCTTTAAAATCCAGTTGTGCACATTATGCTTATAGTACACATTAATTTAGAGTTGGCACAGTTACACTGTTCAGTAGTCCCCTGTGACTGGTGGGTAGCTACTTGGACAGCGTGACTGTAGGGAGTTCTCCAAGCACTGGACCATCTTCTTAGACTTTCTGAAGATAAAGTAGATTAATAGATTTTTTAACATAAGTTTTTCATTACTGCATAAATGCACAGATGATAAATATATCTGATGAATTTTCAGAACATAGCTACTCATCTAGAACCCAGATTCTGAGACCGAACATTAACAGAATCTCAGAGTCTACCTTTTGCTCACCTTGGATTTTCTGATACAATCACAGATACAAAGCTGTTATTTTTTTGTAGGTTTTTCTCAATGTAGACTGAATTATGTAAGCAGGAAGGGGACACTGCTGACATGTTGAAAACCAATCTTTTAACATTATGGCAGTGTCAACCTAGATTATAGATCTTCATAAATATGAAGGAGCTCTCACAAAGCCATGCCAGAAAAGGAAGGCTGAGAAAAAAGGATATTTCTGGCCATTTAAAAATTTGGAGCACGACAGCCTGATTCAATCATACAAACTTATGCATACACACACACACACACACACACACACAAATTGGGTATATCTATATTTATCCTGGATCTCATTTGGTTTTAACTACAGCTTTTTTTTTTTTTTTTTTTTTTTTTTTTGTCTTTTTGAGACAGGGTGTCACTTTGCAATTCAGGATGACCTTGAGCTCACTTTGTACCTGGCTGATCTCAAACTCGCAATCATCCTCCTGCTTCAGCCTCCCAAGTGCTGGGATTACAGGTATGTACCACCAACCCTGGCTTTAAATTGCTTCTTAATCAGATTTTTTCTTCACACAGTCTTTAAATGTGAGAGTAAAGTAAGAATGAAAAAATAATTCTCAGTTATATCAAGTTCCATGAAATATTGTAAAATCTATAGTTTTTTTTTAATCAGGCAAATTTTTCTCTTATCATAAGAAAAGTTAGATATAACATACTCTGAGTTAGATATGAAATGTTCCCAAAAGCCTCAGGTTTGAAGGTGGAACCTAACTGGATGGGATGGATCACCAGGCACATGATTCGGAAGGGCATATTTTAGTCCTTGGCTCCTCCTTTCTGTGCTTCCTGGTTGCCATGTAATGAACAACTTCCCTTTGCCACACCTTTCTGCCATGCTGATTCTACCTTGGAGCAAGATAGCCATGGACTGAATCCATTGAAACTGTGAACCAAAATAAATCTTTCTTGCTTTAAATAGTGAGTGTCAGGTATTTTGTCCTAGCAGTAGGAAAGCTGACTAAGCATGTATATAATAGTCTCAGCATATATTCTATATAATCTATACTTATTTTGTTTGGTTGGGAGGATAAAAAAGGTGGTACAGTCATCCAAACCTTTATGTAATTTTCCAAAGAAAATTTCAGAAGGTTGATATGGAAGTTCAAAGATGCAAAAAGGCAGAAGATGTCACAGGACAAGGTAGAAGAGGGTACAGCAAGCGACTGAGTACAGAAAGCCCAGACTCAGGGAAACAAACATTGCCAAGCTAGAGAACAAATTGTCAGTAGACAGGGTCCTCCCAGGAGGAGACCGGGACCTTACCATGCCCACAGGGTCAGTTGCAGGTTCCCTGAGGTCTGTCACGGAAAAGAGTTTCAGGGTCATGTCAGTGAGAGGCAGGGAAAATTTATTAGGCAGACACAAGTACACATTCAAAGGGGAGTGTGGGCACTCATAGAGCAGGACACATTATGGTTTGAGGTTGGGGTTTTACATGGTCTTGAGGCATATTCCAAATGGGTGATTTAACATGTGTGTTCTTACTGTCTGACAGGTCACCTATTTGGTGGGCTGGTTTGGACTGCAAGTCGCTTGCCTGTGTTGGAAGTTTAGAGAGAGCTGCCCACTCCCCAGTGCTGCTGCCTGCAGGAGGGAGGTTGTGGGAGGAACCTGCAAGTTCAATTCCCAGATGGAAAGCTCAGGTCCAATTACAGGCTTATGAGGAATTTTTTTGAAGTTTCCTGAAAGGGAAAAGGTCACTGTAACCTTGAGTAACTGTGCTTTGAAGCTGCAGTTTTTCTTAAAAGTTCAATTTTAAAATTGCACTTCTGTCTCCTTTCTATCCATCTTTGTTTCTTCTATTCTACTACAAAATTATGCACATCTCTGTCATTTTCTTTAGGAGTCTTCTGTGGGAAAAGGGAGAAGAGACAGCAACCCAGCCATAAGGAAGGTCCACCAGCAGCAGAATTTGATGACTTATTCCTGCTCCAAGTTACGGATGCCTCCTCTCTTTCTCTTACTGGCTCTTCCTTTCCAGTACAGTTCTTTGAGGTTAGAAAGTGTCTCAGCTATTTTCAAACACCTGAGAAGCAGAGGAAATAATAAGGGCTGGTCTACCACATAGTCATTTAAGTTGTTAAAGATAGAAAATGAGATTGGCCAAAACCCAGTCTTTCCACCAATTTGTGACTATTTTGTCTTTCCTTATTCTAAAGAATGAAGTCATTTTACAATATTGGTGTAGAGGGTATGAGGTCAAATATTTCATGTCATAATATTTGTTCTAGTTTATAGAATATGACTTTGTTTATAGAATATACATATCTGAACATGATAAAGAGCCATATTATTAGGAAGTCTCAAGGTTCTGCAGGGAACGTGGGCTAGTAACACGGGGTGATCCAAGGAGTTAAATTTTTCCAGGTCCACACCAAACTTTGGTCACAGGTCATAGAGGGGGTTGTTGTTTGACTGAAGGTCTTTGGGAGGACTTGCTAAGTTAATAAGGGCAGTAGAGCATGTAGAAATAAAATAAGTGACTTGTTCAGTGGAAGTGGGAATGTGCTTGTGGACAAACCCCAGGCAACCCCTATAATCCACCTGTTTCCATTACAAACCTCTCTACCTCTCACTTGAGGAAGAAAGAGAAAATGTTTAAAGATGATAACCACATGGAAAAATTTGCCCTAAGGCTCTCCTTTCTTTGGTTCTTCTGCTACCTCATGTACAACCTGGCCTTTCTTCCCTAATAAGCTCCAGATGTTTGACCCACAAGAGCCAAGGTCATAGCTGAATTCCCACCAGAGCCTAATATGGTGCTCATCGTGCCTCTAGGTAAATCTCTTGCTTTCATGATTCTGATACCTTCTAATTTTCAACAACTTCTAGATCTACAATGATGGCACAGACCTTTCCTCTGAGCTCCCAACCCACAAATATAGCCATATGCTAGACCTCCAACCGTATGGTTTATGGGTTCTCCAAGTTCAGCAAGACTAATTGAGTTCAGGGTGTTTCTCAGACAGTCCCGTCCTGTTCCAGGGACCTCTGCCTCTATGGAAAGCACCACCGTCATAGCTCTAATTTTCCATGCCTGATCCTGGGAGGCATCTGTGCCACCCCAAGCCCAGTTTGCATCATTTACCAAGTCTTGTTAATGCTGGTCCTTGTGTTCTAAATCAATCTCCTTCTCTCCATCACCCTTGACTGGGCAATTGTCATCTCAAAACTGGACCACATGGTCATGTCCCTAGAATAAATGTAGGGAGTCATTCTGCATATTAAGTGACTATCAAAAACACACATCTATCACTGCATAACCCTTCAAATATTTCTGTTCCACTAAAATCAACTCCAAAATCTTAAACAGTCTGCACCAGGCTTTGTTGTAAGCAGTGATTCTGCACAAGGAGATGACTCTTTCTTCCCTCTCCCACCTGTGCGTACCCCATTTGCTGCTGTGCAGGCACTGTGACCCCACCTCATGCACAGCAATCTTCAATTATCTTCATGTGATAAGCTTGAGGTTCCCTACCTTTTTGGCATGGGGCACCATTTCATGCAAGACAGTTTTCCATGGAGAGGGAAGATGGATGGCTTGGGGAGAATTCAAAAGGGCAGCCTAGATCCCTCACATGTGCAGTTCACAGTAGAGTTTAGGCTTCTATAAACATTTAATGCCCTGCTGTTCTTACAGCAGGGGAAGCTCAGGTGAAAACGTGAGTGATGGAAAGTGACGCTAAATATATATGAAAATTCTCTCTCCTGCCGTTCACTTCTTGCTATGTGGCCCAGTGCCTAAGAGACCATGATCTAGTACTAGTCCACAGTCCTGGGATGGCAGACCCTACGTAGCCTGTGTGTGGCAGTTCCTCTGCCTAGAGTGCTTTCTACTTCTGGAGAGGCTTCCCTGACCCCTAGGACTTGGTTAAGACCCACCATTACATGTTGCTGTTTGTAGGCTGATTATTCTCTATCTAGCTTTTCTCTGTTGTGTAAAGGTCAGGAGGACAAGCACTTCACTGTGTTTGGGGCTCAGAACACAATAACACCCCAGTGGACATCAAAGGGCCCCAGAAGTATGGTCTCTATGACCCTCTCCTATTCTGCCTTCTTTCCTTTTTTATCCTCCAATGTGAGTCATAAAAACAGAATTCCTCTTTCCCAAAGTGGGCCATGAAAACTAGAATTCCTTTTGCCCAAAATAAGTTTCATAATGCAGACAGGTCACTCAATTCTCCCTTGAAGACCTTCACTCCAGATGGCTCTGTACTGTACAGAAAGGCCAAGGAGAACCCAAAAGCCAAGAAAAAGCACACAGGAACTTGGGGGAGATTTTATTTTTTATTTTGTCTTGGGTAAGTTAAACATCATAGTATAATTTCCTACTAAGAATGTAAAGGGCAGAGATGGGAAAAATTTAATATTACTAGATACAGAAAGAGACACAATACTTGCAATGACCACTGTAATAGAACTTAGATCAAAGATTATAGTAATTTTACTTTGTCTTTTCCTAGTGATTTGTATATTCCAAAGTGCTTCATATACTTTACTGTTTGGATTTTTAGGGACATAACATAAAAAGAATATAAATAATTTAAAAATTCAGTGGCCAGTAGCAACAAAGAGATTATTCAACCTATTTTGTTGAAGAATTAAATTGCCCTAGAATCTATTTTCTAGCAAAGCAGAAGCATCATTTACATAAAAATTGATATGCTAATTAAGCCTCATTTGAGAAATCTGCCGTGTGACAATACTTTGTTAATATATTTCAAGGTATTCTATGAATTTGAAGGTTTAAAATTTGATAGACAGCAGCCTTTTCCTCCTAAAATCAGTTTGACATGAGTTATTAAAATAAAGCAGGCAAGATTATCTTCTCAGAAGGAAGCTTTTTCTGTTTAAGCAGAATATTTACCCATCAGCTTAGTGTGTATTTGGTTTGGGTGTCACTACAGGTCTATGTTGGAAGGCTGGTCCCCAGGGTGATGGCTTTGGAGATGCTGTGAAACTTAAGAGATGAGTATAGTGGGAGGGCCTTGCCTTCACCAGGGATTAAGGCATTTTCTTGGACAATGTTTTAGGAGTTCTCAAGACTGCCCCTTCTATCTCTACTTCCTGTTTGTGATGTAATCATTGTCCCAGTCTTGTTCCCACCAAAGGACCTTTACCAGAGCCTGTGTTAGGCTGTTTGGGCTTTCAGTTTCTGCACCTGTGAGTTAAATAAATTTTACTTGGTAACTCACCCACATCAGGTATTTCATTGTAGTGATGAAAAGCTGAATAATACACCATTTTTCTGCTAAATAAATGGAAATTCTGCCATCTTTCTCTTTTTTTTTTTGAAAGTACACAAAATTTTTTTCTTTTGCTATCTCTGTGTTTGACATTTGTTTCTGTCTATATAATGTTTCTTTTCCCCCTAAGGTCCTTAAAGTTTTCTTTTTATTATAGGTTTCTGAAAAATTGATTATGGTATGAGTCAGCATATTTTTCTTGTTTTTATCCTCATTGTGATTTGTTAAGATTCTTGGACCTGTTTATGAATATCATCAGGTTTTAAAAAATTTGAGCCACTCTTCTTCCCAAAATTGTCTACTCTCTATTCTTTTGGAATTCCACTATGTTTATATAAGTGCCTTATGAATAATTAGAATTTTTATTATTTTTCTATCCATTGTTACTTCTATATTTCATATTAGAGAATTTTTATTTACTATGTCTTCAAGTTCACTGATCTTTCCTTCTGCAGATTCTAATCAACTATTAAGTCTATCTCATAAATTTTTCATTTTGTTTGCAGCCTTGTATACGTTGAGTGTCCTACCATTGAGCTACAGCAATTCCCAGTAGTGACCCATGAATTTGTGTCTTTCATCATTAAATGTTTCTTGTAAGTTGGTTCATTTCTTTCCTTATTACACTGACCTATTCCTTTCACCCCTTGATATATCTTTAATAGTGATTTTTATAGTTTTTTACCATTTTCTTTATCATTATCATTCTGAGTTTATTTTTGACATATTTTTTCTCCTAGATATAGCTCAGCTCATGATAATTATGCCTTTTTGCATATATAATGATTTTTATTAGATGTTAGCTGCTATTAATTATTGTTGAATGTGAGGACTGAAAGAAAATTTGCTTGCATCCTCTGAAAGTCTGATCACCGAGTTTGACAAAATAAGCTGATAGTGTACAGTTAGCAGGAGAAATAGCACACAGTATTCTTAGGGGCATCACAGATGAGTGAGTACCAGTAACCTGATGTGCATGCATGTAATCCCAGCACTCAGGAGGCTGAGGCAGTGGGATTGCTGTGAGTTTGAGGCCAGCTTAGGCTACATGGTGAGTTCAAGGCCAGATCTTGTCTCCAAAAATAAACAATAAATGTAAATAGAGTGTTGAATTTTGTTACGACAGGTATTTTAATGCTTGTTTATAAGCTTTGGCAAGGAAGATCTACAGTTGCCTTTAACCTAGGCTAGTTTAGCACTATTACAGAGTGCTAGCCTTTCTATGGTCTTTACAGAACTACCCAGGTTTTCAATATGGTCTTTCCATGCTATTTAAAAAGAAAAATGAACACCTCCTAGTCCCATGTGAGCTGTGGTAGTTTTCAGTTTTTTTCCTCCTTTGCACCATGCCTGGGATACTTAGTGCTCAGTCTGGGACTAAGTCAGATCTGCTATGGTTTGGACAACCCCTCTGAATCTCATGTTGAAATTTAATTTTCAAATCTATATGTTGATGCTATGCAGAGTTAGGGATTTGCAGAGGTAATGAGATTAAATAAAGCCATCAGCATGCAGGTCTTCATGATGGGACTGGTGGTTTTAGAAGATGGAGAAGGAAGGGGAAGAGGAGGGGGGAAGAAGAAGAAGAAGGAGGAGGAGGAGGAGGAGGAGGAGGAGGAAAGAAAGAAAGAAAGGAAAAAAAGGAAGGAAGGAAGGAAGGAAGAGGAAGAGGAAGAAGAAGAAAAATAAAAAGAGAGAAAAAGAAAGAAAGAAGAAAGACAGACCTAAGGTGATATACACTTGCTCTGTCTTTCCATGTGACATCAGGTTTCTACCACATTACGATGCCACAGCCAGAGGGTCACCAATGCAGAGCA